TCTTTCTGTTTTACCATTATGCTATCAGTGATATTGGACTTCAAACTAAGGCTGGTTCCTTTTTTATTTTAACTTACTGCGATCTAGCCTACATGTTTTCTTATTCATGTCTAAATATAGAGACACCAGTTTTTGTTTTTGTTTTTTGCCTCTGTCTTAAAAAGAGCCGAAACCAATTTGGCTCAGTGGATAGAGCATCATCTTGCAGACTGAAAGGTCCCAGGTTCGATTCTGGTCAAGGGCATGTACGTTGGTTGCGGGCACATCTCCAGTAGCGGGTGTGCAAGAGGCAGCTGACTGATGTTTTTCTCTCATTGATGTTTCTGACTCTCTATCCCTCTCTCTTTCTCTCTGTAAAAAATCAATAAAATATATTTTTTAAAAAGAATAATATTTGTAGAAATTTCTAGCATTTCTCTTCTTATGTATAATTGGTAACAATTATGCTACATATTCATTCCTGAGTATTGACAAATTTGAGCTCATATTTCTATTACTCAATGGGATAATAGAAAAATAAGTATTAGATATTTGTTATAAGGGTCACCACAATTTTATTAACTTGTTCTGAGTTTATCTGCTATACTTTATGGATTATGTTAAAATCTTTTATACTGTATCATTATTATACATAGCACAACATAGGACAATATATAAGTTATGGAGGGTTTTATTAGCTATAAAATGTCTTTCATATTTTGAGTGATTTCAATAATCTGCTTTAATAAATTTCAGATATGCTGGGATCCAAAATTTGAAATGCTTCTCTCATATACTGCTGTCCAATATCAGGAAGGATTCTTGAGGAAGGAAACACAGTGTTAATTCTCACCCCTTGGATACAATGCCATATTTCTATAGAACAGAAGTGGAATGAAACAACGGGATAAAATGCAAAATAGCTAGGTATGAAGTTGGCAGGAGTTACAGAGTATTCTCTTCTAGAATCTTTCATGGTATCAACTTTACAAACAATTTTATTTTTTACTTTTAATTTTATTAAAAAATTAAAAAATATTTTCATTGATTTAAGAGAGGAAGGGAGAGAGAGAGAGAGAGAGAGAGAGAGAGAGAGAGAGAGAGAGAGAGAGAGAGAGAGAGAGAGAGAGAGAGAAAGACACATCAATGATGAGAGAGAATCATTGATCGGCTGCTTCTTAAATACCCCTTACTGGGGTTCTAGCCCACAACCCAGACATGTGTCCCAACCAAGAATCGAACCTTGATCTCTTGATTCATAGGCCAATGTTCAATTGCTGATCCACATTGGCCAGGCTAATTTTTTTTTAAAATTGATGAGAGAGAGAGAGAGATAGATTTTTTCCCCACTTATTTGCCTTTATTGGTTGATTCTTGAATATGCCCTGACTAGGAACATGGTATCTACTTTAAACTTTTTTTTTTTTTTTTCAGTGAGTACAGTTTTGAGTGTTTTGAGGAGAGATAGACTTGTGTGTATATGTGTACATATGTGTGTGTTAGGATTACTGTAAAAAAGGATAGTTAGTTGATTATTCAGAATGCTAGTTCTAAACTTAGCTACATTGAGTAATAGAAAAACACATTCCAATATTTGCTTCACAATAAACTCTGGAAAATGTATTGCTCTGATTGCTTGGTAAGAAAAACAAATACTAAGATATTTGTTGCTAAATATAATAATTCTCTTATGTTTAGCTGCTATCAGTAATTTTGGGTTTTGACTGTTAATGAACTTTTGTTGTATTAAATATTGTATGAAAGAATAATACACTTGGGATTGCTATTATGTTTCTCAACCTAAATAGGTTTATTTTGTTTATTCAATAAGTGTTTATTGAAATACTAAAATGGCTCAGGCACTGTGCTAGGCACTGAGGATATGCTGGATAATAGACCTATTTCTGCCTTCATGAATCTCATAATCTAGTAGAATATGGTTGGAAACTGGGAGATCAATTTGTTGGTGGTGTTGCTGGTTGAATATGAAGAATGGAGGGAAATTAATAGTTATTACAGACAACATTCTAATGTGATAATGTAGGAGAAGAGAGTCTAGACAAGTTTGCCTATGTAGCTGAGGTCAAACTAAGTCAATGGCAGATCAAGAACCAGAACTGGTGTCTCAGCTCACTTACTCCCCGGGCCCTCCTGAGGATTCTATTTCTTCATGTTGGCAAAGGGCTGGGCCGGGCACACAATGCCCTCAGTCACCGTCTGTGCCATTTCACATTTGCAGCTTCCCTTCACACCTAAGTCAGGTCTCAAGAGTGAAGCAGACATATCCTGGACATTATCTCATTTTAAAAACTCATTTGCCTCACATTATTCTATAAAAATAAACATTTAGAATGCAAAGTAGCCATGAGATGATGATTATTATTTTTTAATAAATGAGCTAGGTTAATAGATAAGGCATACACCCCAACAATACAAATGATACATCTTTGTAATCATTCTGCATTATTTCAGCCAGCTGTGAGAGAACTGCCAACGAAAGTGGAAGAATTCGGCTTCATGAATTATTTATTGGATTCAGTTTAGTACTCTCATTATTCATAGTGCTTCAGGTTAGTCTGTGCAGCTATTTGCCTTAATAAGGAAGGGAATAATGACTTGACAGTGTATCTGTTTGCATTAGTGTGTGCTATTGTTTTCTAAAATAAAGCCCAAGGTATTTTTAGAAAGATGCCTCTTTAAAATAGTAATGGCTAAAAAATATTGCATTTTATATCTTGGGGCTCTATACATTTTTATTTGTATGAAATATTTCATCCTTTAATAAACATTATTAAATACAAGAGAGTTGTATTCATATTTAGGATATCATTGATTATTGTTCAGCTAATGCATGGTGGGATTGTATAAATCCAAGCTTGTTTATCTTAGAATTAAAGTATCTGAAGAGGCAAACTAGAACGATTAGATTGAAGTTGGTTTGTGTATTGCTGCTCTGCTATTTGAATTCCAATGATGAGTATTTATTTTAGAGAGAAAAGTTTATTTTGTAAATTAAATCATAGCAATTATTTTTTATTATTTGTTAGATTAAGTTTCTATGTAGATTGTGTTCGAGTGGGTAAAACATAGCTGATGGGCCAATTCTGAAGAATGCAGTTTATTACATACTAGGTGCATAAATTTGTTCATGGGAGGGGTTGTCCCTCAGCCCGGCCTACACCCTCTCCAATCTGGGACCCCTTGAGGGATGTCCAACTTCCAGTTTAGGCCCAATCCTTGTCCCCAACTACCCTGTGCAGCCTTCCCAATCACTCCCAACTGCCTTCCCCTGCCAGCCTGATCACCCCCAACTGCCCTCCCCTGCCAGCATGATTGCCCCCAAATGTCCTGCCCTGCAGGCCTGGTCACTCCCCACTGTCCTCCCCTGCTGGCCTGGTCACCCCCAATAGCCCTCCCCTGCAGGCCTAGTTGCTCACAACTACCTTCCCTTGCTGGTGATGACCATCTTGTGGTGACCATCTTGTGATGATGTAGGGGGAGCCATCTTGTGGAGGCCATCTTGTGATGACATCACAACAGCCATATTGTGATGATGTATCTGGGTCCATCTTGCAATGACATTGTGGTGGTCATATTGTGATGATGTTGCACAATTCCACCCAGGCTTTTATTATATAGCATAAGCATGAAGGGAGATAATCTTTGCTTATTTTTGAAAGAGTTCCACCTGACTGTATAAAATTTCCCATTCAAGGGTAGGAGAGACCAGAAGAGAAGGGAAAGGTATTTAGATGAAGAAGTAAGGAAAATAAACATTGTTAATAGTCCTCAGAAAATATTTCTAATAATAATAAACTATACAATTAGATTCACTGACCTTTGAAAAAACTAGTTACATAGCTCTAGCTCTATATAACAGTTGGGGGATTAGTCTGAATTTCCTTAGGTGTTTCCCATTTCTTTTGAATGTACAGCCCACTGCATTTCTTCAATCACACCTACCATTTTTAACCATCAAGCTCTGATTAGACCGCAGTACAGGCAACCTTGTTTTAATTTGAAGTGTTATCCAAAGCTACTTTGTGAAGCTTTGCCAACAGGTACTCCTGTAGCTCATCTATATTTTGGAGAAAATTAATAGGTTGGTCACAATCTCTGACATTTTTCTGGTCTTTCAAGGCTATTGAGAAATTCTTCCATGTTTGCTTAGTCACCTCTGTCTCTATAGAAGCCATGTAAAGTTTCTTTATTCTCTTCATACTTTAATCATCCACCTATCCACTTTCTCTTATGAGTAAAAACTGAAGAACATCAGATGCATGCTTCCTCATTCACTGCCACTCAACAATAGCTTGACCTCATATAGCCATTCTTTTATTTCCCTCCTATGAAATGAAAGAGATATTCTTTCTTTTATATTCTTTCTTTTATTATTTCACTTAGGGAACATTTCTTCTTCTACTTTCCATTGATATACATACTACATTATAAATCAACTGAAACTGGTTTGCCTCAGTGGATAGAGCATGGGCCTGTGGACTGAAAGGTCCCAGGTTTGATTCTGGTCAAGGGCATGTACCTTGGTTATGGGCACATTCCCAGTAGGGGTGTGCAGGAGGCAGATCACTGATGTTTCTCTCTCATCGATGTTTCTAGCTCTCTATTCTTCTCCTTCCTCTCTGTAAAAAGGTCAATAAAATATATATTAAAAAAAATAAATCAATGGTCTCCCCCCCCCCTTTTTTTAGTACTTTTAACCTCTCCCCTTTAATAACTCTGTATTAGTTATCTATTGCTGCATAACAATTTAAAGCTTAAAACAACACACATTTATTATTTCACATAGTTTTTGTGGGTTAGGAATCTGGGAGTGGATAAACCTAGCAATGCTGGCTCAGAATCTCTCCTGAGGTGTGGTCAAGAAGTCAGCCTCAGTTGACAATCATCTAAAAGCTTGATTGAGGATGGAAAATCTAGTCCAAGGTGGCTCACTTGACTATTGGCAGGAGCCTCAGTTCCTTGCTAGCTGTGAGCAGCGTGAATATTCCTTGCAAAATGGACCTTGAGTGTCTCACAACATGCAGCTGGCTTCCTTCAGAGCTACTGATTCAAGAGAGCAAGGTACAAGTCACAATGTCTTTTATCAGTTAGCTTCAGGAATCATTATTTCCACACACTTCTTTGATTTACACAGATTCATGCTATTCAATTTGTGTGTTGGGATGAGTACTACAAAAATATCAGGAGTCAGGGATCATTGGCGTCATCTTGGTGGCTGGTTATCAAATCTTCCCATAAATATTTAAACATATTTCATTTTATCCTGTCTTAAAAACAAATAAAACAATAAAAACAATGAATCAAACAACTAAACAAGGTAACAGTTACATCAATTATGCTCCCTCCAAAATATACAACTTTTAATCTTGCCCTTCCTTTTCCTCTATATTTGAAACTCTTAAAACTGTTGTCTATATTTTCTGTTACTGGACTCTCACTTTTATTCATTTCTCAATCTTTTGCCATATAGCATTGTTTTATTTTACTAAACTACTCTTGTCAAGGTCCTGACTTTTTTGTTGCTAAATCCAATGGAATTTTCAGTTTTTTTTTAAACATTTTTACTTGATCTCTACCAGTAGCAGTTCATCCAATGTCACACACACTTCTTTCCAAGAAAAACCCTCTTCCCTTAATTGCTCTGATATGTAACTCTCCCAATTTTTGATCCAATTTATCCATCTTGTGCCTTTGGAGTCTCCTTTGACTAATCTTTACCATTCTTCAGGCAATGGTCAAAGTTTTGTCATACATCTTTTCTCATTGTACACAGTCTCCTGAGTGCTATTCAGCACTACCATGGCTTTAAGAATTACCTATATACATGTTAACCAAAACTACATTTTCATGCCACAAATTTCTCTTAACAACAACCACCTTATCTTTGTTTGTTTATCATGCAATAACGTACCAATAATATCACAAAGCCCTACTCAATACTTTTCTTTCTAATCCTATTGTGTTTTCAATATCTGTGATTGGCACTATTATCCACCAGATGGTAAATTTAGGAAGCTTAGAACTAATCTTTTTTCTCTCTCTTACTTCCATCATTTCATTAACTAGTAAGTTATGGTGATTATAACTTTTAAAAAATCCTCTCTGAAGCATATTTTTTCCATTGATTTTTAGAGAGAGTGATAGGGAAGGGTGAGGAGGGTAGAGAGAGAAAGAGAGAGAGAGAAAGAGAGAGAGAGAGAGCGTGAGAGTGTAAGAGACATCAACATGAGAGAGACACATGGACTGGTTGCCTCCCGCATGTGCCCCAACTGGGGCTAGGAATCAAACCTGCAAGGGACGTACATGCCCTTAACTGAAAATCCAACCCATAGCCCTTTGGTCTGAGGGCTGACACTCTAACTACTTAAAAAAAAAAAAAAAAAATTATTGATTTTTTTACAGAGAGGAAGGGGGAGGGATAGAGAGCTAGAAACATCAATGAGAGAGAAACATCAATCAACTGCCTCCTGCACACCCCCTACTGGGGATATGCCCACAACCAATGTACATGCCCTTGACTGGAATTGAACCTGGGACCCTTTAGTCCGCAGTCTGACGCTCTATCCACTGAGCCAAACTGGCTTTGGCTGACACTCTAACTACTGAGCAAAACTGGCCAGGGCTAATTTTTAAAATATTCTTGGATCTGTACAATATGTCCATTCCTTCTGCCATTTTGTTATTGAAACCCCTGAATTATCAGAAAAACTTAAAAAGTGTTATCTCAGTGTCCATTCTTACCCTCTTCTAATCCATTCTCCACATTGTCTTTCAAAATGCAAATGTGAATATGTCACTCCCTTGCTTAAAACTATTCTGTTCAATTTATTTGTATGAAAGTGCCACATTTTAATAATTATAGCTTTACTAGAGGACCGGTGCATGAAATTCATGCACTTGGGGTGGGGGGGTCTCCTCAGCCCAGCCTGGATCCTCTTGCAGTCTGGGAGCCCACAGGGGCCTAAGCTGGTACTCAGACATCCTTAGGGCTGTGCCAGAGGTGGGAGAGGCTCCCACCACCATTGCTGCACTTGCCAGCTCTTAGCCTGGCTTCTGGCTGAGTGGCGCTCCTGCATTGAGCATCTGCCCCCTAGTGTCATAGCAATTTGTCATTTTGCCATTCAGTCAATTTGCATATTTGTCATTTTGCCATTCAATCAATTTGCAATTTGCATATAGGATAATATGTTTTAATATTTAAAATTTCATTAATTAAAAAAATATTGATTTTTTACAGAGAGGAAAGGAGAGAGATAGGGAGCTAGAAACATCGATGAGAGAGAAACATTGATCCTGTACACTCCCCATGGGGGATGTGCCTGCAACCAAGGTACATGCTCCTGACCGAAATCAAATCTGGGACCCTTTAGTCCGCAGGCTGATGTTCTATCCATTGAGCCAAACCAGTTTCGGCATATCTTCTATAATTGGAACTTTGTAGCCTTGAGTGGAGGCCAGAGCTGTGGAAGCTTGTCTTCCTCCATTGCCGGGAGCAACTCAAGCCTCTTGCTCTCTCCAGCTCCATGGTTGTCATCATTTTTGTTGGTATTTATTTATCTTCTAAATTGAAACTTTGTATCCTTGAGTGGAGGCTGGGCCCACCAGGATGTGCAGAAAGCTTGGCTTCTTCCATTGTTGGGGAAATCCAAGTCTCCTGCTCTCTCCATGGCTGCAGCCATCTTGTTTGGGTTAATTTGCATACTTGCTCCCAGTTGGTTGGTGGGTGTGGCTTTTGATTGCAGCAAAAGTATAGTCAATTTGCATATTACTCTTTTATTAGATAGGATTGTTGCAGAAGACATAGGAAGCACCCTTCCTAGAGAAAGGGAGGGACCATGTTTATTAACACTAGTGAACTCCAAGAATAATTTCCAAATCAGAGTGAAGAAACATGCAGAGGACTTCAGTTTTTATAACCTTCTGGGGCCTTTGTCTTGTAGATATGGTTTCACCCCCTTTTGTGGGCTTACAGGAAGGCCTCCAGGGATAAGGACCCTCAGGGCAGTGCATTGTTTACAGTTTTTATGGCCTGACACACCTTTCAAGACCAGTTTCCTCCTCATTATGAAACTGTTTTCCTCTTAGAATTTAGAGATAGTTTAGAGCATGTAAAGGGAAAGATAGATTGCTTACTCTGAGGGCAATTTGTCTTGAATTCTCTTTGCTAAGTTTTTAAAGAAAAAGAAGAGATTACTTGAGTTGTAGTTTTTGATAAGAGCATAGCATGCTGGTGCTTTCTATTAAAGACTGAAAGTGAGACCACAGAGCATGAAAACAAACAAGGATGTGACATAGTTATCAACTTATTTTAAAAGTTCGGAACCTAATCAGTTCTCAGGTGTGAATGGAAGGCTGGACCATTTTCCTAATCATTTACTACTTCATTCAAAGCATATTTATTCATTAATACTATAGACAGCATGAAGAACGCAACTAATATGCTCCTTATCTTGATGGAGTTATTAATTTAGTAGGGAATAGAGACAACTGTATTGGAAATTACTAAAATGTAACAAATACAGTTTTACTGAGGGTCTTCTTTCAGGTTGTAGACTGCTGACTTATCATTATAGCCTTGCATGGCAGAGAGCAGAGGGGAATCAAGCTCTTCTAAAACTCTTATCAGACATTAATCCCATTCATGAGGATTCCACTTGTATGACCTCACCTAACCCTAACCATCTCCCAACGTTCCCAACTTCTAACATCATCACTTTGAGGAATAGGGTCTTCACGTATGAATTCTGGGGGCTGGAGGGACACAAACATTCAGTCCCTAATAAAAGTTATACAAGATCATGTGGAAGAAGCTACCAGACCTAGACTTGGAGGGTTGAATGCTTAGAGAAAGTGATATTTAAGCTGAGATGTGAAAGATGAACAGGAAAGCCACAGTGGTGAGAGACTGAACTCAATTCCACTAAAACAAAAGGTGGGAGAGTTCCTTAAGCTCTGGGGTACGCTGGTGGGAAAGTTCTGGAGGACATTAGGGCAGAAGGTGATCAGTGTGATTAGGTCATCTGTGTTTGCTAATTGGCTCCTACCCTCCCAGAGAGACAGGGATATAAGGACATTATCTTTCTTGATGATTACATTTCAAAAGGATAGCTTTTAGATCCTCCAGAAAGACACTCCTTGGTTATAAAACTGGCAAAGACCCTGAGAGATTTACATCTCAAAAGAGCAAAGAAAGAATTTACAATTGCAAGGTTTCTAAAGTAAATGCTCCAAGTAAAAGGGAGGTCACAGGTGGGCCTAAATTCAGAAAGAAACCTGTCTAAGCTTTAGTGAAGTTGAGGGGAATGTTAAGTCTGTCTTGGCCACATTAAAAATTAAGTTAGATGAATTATAGTTGATAAGTTAGAGTCTAATTTTTAAGTCGTTAAATAGCTGGGGTTGGTGAATTTTATAACAAATTATATGTGTTGCAAAGGAACAATATTTCAAACTTCTCTAGATAGTCAGCTTAGGTGTAATATTCCCCTTTTTAATTTTATGGTAATGTGAACCTGTCTTCTCTTTTAGGGATTATGGTTTTTAGACTTTATAGAAGCTTTTTCTGCCTTTAAGTTTGTCTTCCATATCACTGCCAAGATAATTTTTCAAAATGAGAAATTTGGTGATCCTTTCTCTTCAATTTCAGGATAAAATCCGAATTCTTCAATGTCTTTTTTTTGTCATAACTCCTACTCATGTTTCTAGCCTTTGCTTTCATCTTTTATAGTTTCTATAGCTCTTTAATTTTCAAACATTTATACCTCAGCCTAATTGTCCTAGTCTCTTTCTTTGTTAAGGGAACTTTTTCTTGTCTTTCACCTGACAAGACTGAATTCTTTATTGGCGTCTATCAATTTTCTTTCTCATGGACTAGACTCTGAGCTCCTTGAAGGCAGATTCTATAACTTCCATCTTTCCCCCTAGTTAAGTCAAGTGCCTGACAAGTATTTAATATACATCTTTGTTGTACAAATGAATAAATGGAGGTGGGAAACTAATTCCTTTATGAACATGACAGCTGTAGAGTGACTTACTGAATTATA